CAATTAAGTTTGTGAAAGATTTTTAAAAAGATTTCATTCTATACTATTATATTACAACCTTCCATTAAAATCATCTATAATATTTCAAAAAGAAAAGAGAAAAGAAATGAGATGATGGATCTAAAAAATGAAATGTAGGATCTAAAAATGAGAGAAGAAATGAGATGATAATAATTTGTTGAATTTTTTATTCGTTTATATTTTAATGTGTGCTCATTAAAAAATATTAATATGAGAAATTGATATGTAACACTCCTATCTCCTCTTCTCATCTCTCCTTTTATTCTATATGTAAAATGTTAATCGAATTAATGATTTTTTAATATGAAAAAAACACAAACCATCTCCAAAACATAATTAAGTTACCACACAAATAGATAATTACAATAGCAAATAGCAAATCAAAGGTAAGATAGAAATAAAAATTTAAAACGAAAGAATTAACACCATTAAAAACCACGCCGTTTCAAAAAGTAATGCTTATGAAATAATTGTTTATATTATGAAAATCTAGATTACATACTTACATATTTTATGATTATTTTATGATGTGTTTATACTTACAAAATACAAATAAGTATTATTAAGAAATAAATCATAATAACAACAAAAGCAAAAAGTTAAAACTATAGTATTAATGAATAATGTTTTGCAACAAAAGTAAGATATAATTTTTGGGGAAAAAATAGTGCAGTAGAAAATCACTTTTACCCATTGTGGTTGCATTAAATGCTTGTATGTTACTGTATTGTAGAGTATGAAATTTCTTCAAGTATCACATGATTTTTTTTACTCTATAGTTAATAACTCTGTTTTGAAAAAAAGAAAAGTTTTGTAAATGGTCAAATTCAAAAAAAGACTCAATTACAAAAGTCATGCAAAAACAATTACTACAAAAGCAATTACAAAAAAATCTACATAATAACAATCAATTTTCAACCATAATGAGAACGGTTTCTTCTGCCGGGGTGATGGCGCGGGCTTGACTAGAAATAACTTTCATCTCTTTTTCAAAAATCAAAAGATCACTAATTAAAATTGAATAAACGAAAATATTATAGAATGAAAAAAGTTTTTAAAAAAAATAGTATTTTCATTGAGAAAGAGATCAATAACAAATTAAAATACGAGAGAAAGGTTGAGTTTCTTAAATGAGTCAAGAACAAATCTTAGATGATGAGCTTGCAATTTCTCTAATGGAGATTCTTCTTCCTATGCCCTAGCACTCTTCTCATTCTCTTCATTTTCTCCAAAACATATATCTCCCAGTTTTCTCTTAACTCCCATTTTTCTCTTATTTTATTATTTTTATTTAACTCTAATTACACCTTATTTCAATAAAATAAAATAATTATTTATTTTATTGTGTCATCTTACTATAATAATTAAATAATTATTTAATTACTACCATCCTTATTATTTTATTTAAATACATTACAATTTAAATAATAATAGTAAATGACATTCTTCCACCATCCCATGTCTTTACACTTTTGTTCACGCATCCCCAACATCTTAATTTCTAATTCTAAGGTTATCACCCTTACACCAAGGGTCCCTCAACACACCAAGCATCAACAATTCATACAATCACACAATATTATTCACAAAAATTTAAATAATTAAATCGAGGCGTTACATTGACATTGCATTAGAGTTGGATTGAGACTTGCTCCAATCCCATGTTTCTGATTCTTTCACTAGCACACTTCTGTTGACTTCAACTTTGTTGGTGACTAGTCAATAGAGCTTATAAGCATTTGTATTGTGGTAACCTATAAGCAACATAACTTTTCTTATGTTATCCAATTTCCTTCTAGTAGCATTTGGTATATATTTTTAACATAAGGAACCAAACACGTTGAAATGGATGTCACTTTGCTTTCTTCCAGTCCACTTCTCAATAGGAACTACTTATTTTAACTTTTTTGTTGGACATCTGTTGAGAACATATGACGATGTAGAAATTTCTTAACCCCGTAATTGCTTAGGTAGATTCTTCTCCTTCAACATGCTCCTTGTCATGTCAAGCAGAGTTATATTTCTCCTTTCAACAAGACCATTATGTTGTGGAGTGTATGGAGCAGTCACCTCATGCTTAATACCACGTTCCTCATATAACTTCTTGAACTCTGTTGAGTTGAACTCATATCCACCATCAGTTCTGAGGATCTTTAACCTTTCTCCAATTTGATTTTCAGCCTTCACTTTAAACTTATGTAACTTAACAAACACCTCTTTTTTGAACTTAATGAGTGTTACCCATGCCATTCTTTAAACTCATCCCCAAATGACACAAATTACTCGTTTTATGTGAGTGAAGATACCTTAAATGGACAGATACATCAGAATGTACCACACCCAAAGCATGAGCTGCTCGTGGAGGTACTTATGATGAAAATAACAATCTTGGTTGCTTGTCTTTCATGCATATATCACATGATTTCTCTGTTGAATTAATCTTAGGAATTATATGTACCAAATTCTTTGAACTCATATGTCCTAAACTTTTTGTAGTTCAAATACCCTAATCTCTTGTGTCATAACTCACTTTCCCCTTTAGTACTTCTTGCACTAAGGCATTGAGTGTCTGTTGTTGCAACATTCACCTTGGATGCTTTGTTTCTTCTCAATTCATACTACATAATCATCTTCTGATTACATTCATACAACTTCAAGAGATTGTCCTTCATGGTTACTAAAAATTATTTTTCAATAAGCTGATTAACACTCATCAAATTCTTATTCATGCCAAGAAAATACCATACATCCTTGATCAGCACAATTTTTCCATTGTTCAACTTAACTCTGACATTTCTCATTCCTTTAGCATTTAGATACTCATCATCAACAGATCCGATCTTGGTCATTTTACCACAGTCATAATCAACCAGTCATTGCTTATTTCCAATTAGTTGATTTGAATAGCTAGTGTCCATATACCATCAGTCTACCATTGATCCACCTACATTCTCAGATTCCATCAATATCACAGGTTCATCATCAGAATCTGCTCTGGTTATGTCGGATTTTTCATCCTTGTTAACCTTATTTGACTAGCATTCAGCGGTAAAATGGGTAAACTTGTTGCAACTGTAGCATTAAACCTTTCTCTTGTCAAACTTTTTCTTTCCCTTATGAACATTATGATGTTTCTTATCAAAATTGGAGAGTTTTGACTTCTGAACACCACCACCATACTTCTTCTTGTTCTCTAATCTTGCTAGCTTCTAATTCTTCTTGTCATAAGAAACTTTCAGAGTCTGTTCAAAATCTTGTTCAAAGTTTCTTTCAGTCAGACGCAACTCTTGTGTCTCTAAACTACTATGAAGCTCTTCAATTTGCATGGTGTTGGTATCTTTAGATTGTTCTTCGGCTAAAACTATGTAATCAAACTGAGGAGTAAGTAATCTCAGTATCTTTTTAATGATTACTTATTCAGAGATCGTTTCTCCATAAGACTTCATCTCATTAGTGACCGCAATTACTCTGGAGATATAATCAAATACCTTTTCATTATTCTTTGTGATGAGATTTTCAATTTCTTACATAGGAACTAAAGTTTAACCTTTTCCATTGATGCGTCACCACCATGGCGCTGTACCAGTGCATCCCATGTTTCCTTTGCCGTCGTCAAATTAACAATTTTGTCAAACACTTTTGTATCCACACATTGATGGATATAGAACAACGCATTTTAATCCTTCTTCCCCGTTTCACGTTGCGTAGTTCTTTGCGCTTCTGTTGCATTTTCTACGACCGACATGTAACAGTCATTCACAAGATCGAGAGCATATTGAGCTCCAAGCAACACACACATCTGAATCGACCACCGATTTCAGTTATTTCCATCAAATACTGAATGCTTTGTGTTCAAGCTACCGTTTCTGCCGTTCATATATGTTTTTGTGCAAATCATTCAATTCTCACCAACACTCGTATACCTCAAACCCCAGGAATCAAGATTTGTAACTCTCCTTGATTTTGAGCTTCAATTCAATGTGAATTTCATAAACGAAATCAATCACACACCTCACTACCCTCGTGTTTTCCTGTGAATCAAACCAGAGCCCTGATACCAATTGTTGGAGTTCAATAATGAACCTCCATTAACAATGCACAAGAATAAAGAAGATGATAAACAGTTACAAAGAATTGAGAGAGAGAGAGAGAGAGAGAGAGAGAGAGAGAGAGAGAGAGAGAGAGAGAGAGAGAGAGAGAGAGAGAGAGAATTATGTAACTAACTTTCTAATCTCAAAATGCAAAAGTTCAAATCTATTACAAATTCGCTTTCTTAGGCTTGTATACATTCACCAAGCTCAAATACACATTAAATGCAAAATCAAATTCAAATAAAACTAACTTAAATGTTGAAATAATCACTTTTAATTGTTGTAATAATGTAACTCTTTCAACTTTACAATTGTTTTCCGAAGGTAGAGAACACTACGTAACTCATTCTCGTCTTTTAAGGAATTCACCCATGCCCATCTTAGTATTCATCAATAATGGCCTATCCATATTTCTTACTTGGTGGATGAAGTTTTAATTGGATCAAACAAGTTAATGTAAAAAATTCCAAGTGGTCTTGTGGTAGAAACCTTATTATTAGGAAAATGAGAGTATTACTTTCAGTTTAAGCATGCTTCTGACCTCATTGAGCTTATTTAGTTTTGAGGTTAATCTCAATATAGTATGTCTCAAGATACTATGTCCCAATCGTCTGGCCATATCCAGTGTTCCTCGTTCAATAACATGATGCATTACACTTCTTGCTTTCCAAATTAAAAAGTTTTACTTTTTAAATATTGTTTTTTACTCATGGATCCATATTTATGACTAATAGACTAACATGTTTTTTTATTGGAAATTGCATCATAACCACTTGTTGGTAGTTTAAGTTTATTTAGGACTGCTATAAATGCCATCCACATTATCACCAATTACACACATCAAAGTATACAAATACAAAATCCATAACATACAACATACATTTGGTTTCATTTCTGAAACTCAAGAACAGCGTAGAAATGATCCACGTGAAAGGCTTTGAAAAGATTGAAACCTGCAGAAATTGCAAGCTGCTTAAACTGCTCTTCAGTCCTATGCTTTCCTTTGGCTCTATAAATCGTCATCACAAATATGTCACCCTCAAGCAACGCCCTTGTTCTGTGGCTATCATCTGAATCCTCCGGCAACACAGGCTCACAAGCTATTAGCTTTCCTCCTGCTGGGAGGGCCTTGTAACAGTTTGACATTATGTGTTTGCACTCTTCGTCGGTCCATGTCGTTAGCACCCACTGACAAGTACCAAACAATAATCAAATCTCAACTTTATTCTTACACACAACAGTACAAATCATCACAACCTAAATTTAAGGTTTTTGTTGGTCGAGTAAATAAGTAGGACAGTGCCAATAAATACATTTCAATTATTGCTACACCACTTTTTACATCAACAGTGTTTTTGTATCAGTTTTGTGTAATGTTCCAGTACAAGTTTGTTTTTTTCCGGTCTGTGATTGTACAATAACTTTTGATCCTCAGCCACAGATTCAAAATTGAAAGATACCGGAAAAAGATTATTTGGAGGAGTGGATCACAACTCACCTTCATGAAGATAGCATCTGCTTGAGGAATGTACTTGAACATGTCACCGCCCACATGAGTTACACCTACAATAATATATTTTGGTAAATTATCAGGTACCCATAAATCTTAATTGAATACCGATTCTTTTAGTGTAAATTAGGATAAAATTTTAATTTATTTTAAAATAAAATAAAATAAAAAAATAATTTAACATTGAATCATAATATTTAATTAATTAAAAATATTGATATTCAATTAAATTAGAAAGTATCGGACTCTTACATGTGACAACTGAATATCACACCTACTATATATTAATTATCAATTTTATAAACATACCTGGAATTTGTGGTGCTTTAGCCACAACTTGAGGAAGATCAAAGTTTAACCCTTGTTTGATATTAGGATATTTCTGCAAGATCATTCGGAGACAATCACCACCGCTGCCACCCACATCAACAAGCTTCTCGACATTTTGAAACCCATGGTAGCTCCCCAAAAGTGCTTTCATGAAGGGCACTGATACCCCTGACATAGCCTTCAACATTAACTCATTCATCTCTGGTTTCTTTTGGTAATAATCATAGGCTCCTTCTCCATTAGCCCTCTCAAATGGCTCCTTTGAGGGGTCCACAACTGCTTCATGTACCAATGGCCATGCTCTCATCAACGCATCCTGCATAATCATTCATAGCTTACATCAATAACTTCTTGTCCATTTTAAAAAAGATCTCCATAATTTAAATTTTATGTCATCAATAATAATAGTTTTTCTTCATCGGCTCATTAAAATAAATATAAATATAATTTATTTTTGGACTGACCTGGTGGTGTTGGAGCACGTAAGAGCCATACGATAAGCCTTGTTCATCGGTGACAAGAGTTTTCCCAACATCCGTTACCGAGTATTTCCTTTCACCGCCACCAATATGTTCTTCAAACACACCATAACTAGCGAGCATGCGTAGCATGCGCTGAAGATTCTCAGGGTCGCCGCCTCCGGATGGAATTACACGCGCAAGGATTTCAGCGGCGGTGAGAGGCGCGTTGGAACCACCTTCCCAGATTGCGTCGGCGACGTTGAGACGAACGACGGCGTTTAAGGACATAGGGACGCTTATCATGTTCGCTAGCTCCAAAATGGCTAGTCTAGCTTGCTTTCGTGAATCTGTGTCTTCTTCCATTATCGTCTTCCTGGTTGAGTAGTTTTCGCGTGTTTCTTTTAACAGCTGTAGTGTTCGTGTTTGATTTGAATATATATGTATTTTGAGAAAGGTTAATCTTGTACGAGAGTGAGAGGAAAATTAAAATAAAAGGTTGAGACAAAAATGCCACTTAAACAAGTCACGTGACCTTTTTTTAATTGGTTGAGATAAATGTGACTCTTTGTATTCCGTGACCCTATTGTCATCTTTTCTAAAATTCTATCACCATTGTTGATAGCAACTGTTTTCATAATCTATTCCAGTGTGTTAATGTGCGGGATTTTCTTCTCACTCATAAATTGACGGTGCCATGGGCCCATGGTCATACTCAAAACAATTTTTTTCCCACATATTTTTCTTTTAAAGCTTTCAGTTATATGATTTTCCTAGTAACTCCTGCAAAAACAAAAAAATTACAATTTCATATTCAAATGTAGTCAAATGTTTATTAGATTTTGATATATCAAGTTAAGGCATGATGATGGTCAAAAAAATGATCTTAAAAAACAATATGTTATAAGATACTATAACTAAATACAACTTTTAACCAAAAAAAAAAAAAACACACATATATATATATATATATATATATATATATATATATATATATATATATATATATATATATATATATATATATATATATATATATATATATATATATATATATATATATATATATATAACTCATCAATTATTAATAAGAATTTAATTGGTATATACCGATCGTGTAAAAAAAATTTATACTGTCAATTAATTATGACCGTTAAATTTTAATTTAAGTTTGACTTTGATTTTAACAATTTATAAAGTAATAATAATGAATGGTTGTGATGCAATCACTTAATACAAAAATTTACACCAATAATACATAGTAATTAATCTTTATTATTAAATTATTTAATATTAAAATTATTAATATATTTTTATTAATTGAAAAATATTTAATGCAAAAAAAAATTGATTTTTTTTTCAAATAACTAAGGTATTCAAATTTATTACCTCAAGAGGAGGGGATATTACTAGTGGCACACACTCTTAAATTTTAACTGAGGTGTAATTATGCTTTTAGTGGTCAGATGTCGAACACGATATTCTAGACAACTGGTTTAACAAGTTAAATCAGAATCACCGCAATTAACACATATTTAATTCTACAAGATGATGGAGCAGAAAAGTAATAAATAACACAATAATTAGTAATTCAATTCGATGCAATAACACCTACGTCTAGAGTGATGGTTTCCAACCCAAGAAAGAAAATTCATTATTAATAGTTTAGTACAATTAGTCTTATAAGTAATAACAAGCACTATGTTGTTCAATTCCTCTTCTTAACAATATCTAATGACTTTCTATTTAGGACTTCACCTAAATATGAGAATCTCTTTCACTTTCTCTCAATTACTAAACTCTAACGATTGGTGTTTAACCCAATTATCAATGTTGAATATTACAACTCAACTAAACAAACCTACAACTATGTCAAGTTACTGAAACATAATGCGGTGTACATAAAACAATAACAAGGACTCTATACCCTAGGACTCGTGTGATATTTAACGAATATTGATTGCTTTACAATGTAGGTTTTGAGCTCCTTATATAGCAAAAGTATTTTTGATTTTTCTCTTTGGATCTTTGTTTTAATTCTGTTCTGAATCTTTGTACAATTAGTTGGATATTATTTGTTCTGTAAATATCTCCAACAAAAATATATGATTTGCTTTAATTCAAATTCAAATTTAAATCATATCTAAATCTGATTTGATATTCACAGTTGTCCAACAAATCATATAATAATATTGCTAAAATAAAAGCAATAAATCTAACTAAATCTTCAACAGAAAATTCGTTCTAAAACATAGTAATATGACATGTTGAGCAAGACCCATATTCGTACTCACATGCTGTGACATCATGTCCAGCATGTGCCTCTTCTACATCAGAAAATCATCATGAAACAGCTTAGCAAACTTGAACACTTCTCCATTATGTTGTTTTGCAAAATATAGCCAATCCCAAAGGAACAACAATCTCCCTTTTTAGCAAATTATGGCAAAATAACTCTTCAAGATAGATAGCACTCATTCAATCAAAACAAGTGACATCCAGCGGAAGATAATTAGAGCATACGCTTTCATTAACAACAACCTTCATCAGAGTTGTAGAACATCAGCAAAACGTCAGTAGCATAGATGCATGCCACACAAAACAATGCTCCAAAATCAATTAGACAAACATGTAATCATTCACAACTTAGTCACGCATGACACTCAGTCAGCTCATAGTTAGTAGCATACAATCCTACCAACTAACAATTATAAGCATGAAATCATTCATATACTTAGTAATGTATAACACAAATAATTAGTATTTAATATCGAGATATGCAAAACACTACTGCGTAAAAGCTCACTCTGAAAGGGCAAGATGTCTTTCTCGATGTTGCAACATGTGAACACATCTATATTACTTACTCAGATGGTCAGTACTAAACAAATACTTGTGTTACCTCAGCAACACCATACTACTCCCCCTTTTTGCCATAATTTTCCAAAGGGTTAGTACATCAAATAGAACCTAGAGGTCAGTCATGCATAGGTTAGTATGTTAGCACATACATTACCACAATATGAGTAGAACAACCATAAAAGTATCCAGAGATGTACAAGCATTAGATATGTTTTACTATACATAGTCTAAAGAGACTTTAGAGCCTTTACATATACAAAACAGAAACAAAAAATAGACAAATACAAGGGCCAAAAACACCTGAAATCAACATTCTTCATACTTGATCTCTTGACCAACCACCTAAATCTAGGAAGGTAACATGGTATTCATAAGCCTCTGAGTCAGACTCATGAGGTTAAATAGGTTGCTTCTTCAAGACCTTCATCTTGGTCACATACTTATTACCAATTGGTGATGCACTATGAACATTTCCCCTATTTGCAGAAAAGGTGAAAGAAATTCTCTTGTTCTTCCTTTATTTATCCTTATTGAACCTATCAATAACTTTCATGATATAAATTCCCTTATTAGAGTGTTTCTTCTTTGAATTTCAGGCTTTTGACTCATGATGATCAACGCCAACACTTGGAAGGTGCAAGATAAGGATATGAGAACTTTTCTCTTGCTCGTATCAAATGTCTTGATAAAAAGAATGAATTACCCTCTATATACATACATCATAGAGAATAGGAGAGAAATATTGTCTTGGTTTTCTTGCACGTTTCCCAATCTTTTACTACTATAGGATCTCCAATATGCACACTTCAAGTGCATTTGACTAAATTATTCAGAGGAGTCGTCGTTACTACCAATTAAAATATTGTAATTTAAAATTTCCATATATATAATTTTATTAAGGATTTGTTGCGGTGAGAATAGAATATCAAATTATTAATTAATTTGAATCACATCTTTAGTTCACAACCGGTCTTTGATTTATCCGAAGGAAAAGGTTAAAGAAAGGAAAAACCTATTTTACATCATAAACACAATGCGGGGAAAGATCTAGGGATTCGGGGGTTGGTTAAGCTTAGGGAAGTTATTAGCATCCTAAACTTCCGTAGTACTCTACAGGAACCTCTTGTTTTAATGCTCTATTGCTAAAGTTATCTGCTTAAGGGTTATGCTAAGGGTTAAAGGTAAAAAGAAAGACCTAAGGGGTTAGACCTAAGTTTACTCGCCAAGACTCTCATCTTGTGCCTACGTATCCTGGGTAAGGGGTGGAATCAGAGTAATCGTAGTTCCCCTCACAGAGGGAGGTAAAGAACTTCTTGACTGTGGTCAAGGTTCCAAGGGGATGTAAACATTCATAAAGAAGCGCTTACATGGAGTGTGGAGACTCCCATCCTACGTTGTAAGTTGAATTTAAAAGGGTAAGATAGTAAATATTCCACGGCGGAAAACCTATATGGAGTGCGGCGACTCCTTATCCCGAGGCTAGGGTAAAGGGTAAAATTGTCCACAGCGGGACACCTAAGCATGAGTACGGCGACTCAAAGTCTTAATGGTTTGAAAGGTGAAAGATGGACGAGGGTTAAGGACTATTGACGCGGCGGTCAAATGGCTAGACCTTTCCTTCGGAGGGGAATTAATGGAAAAAAATAAACGATAATAATCAATGAGTAATGAAGGTAATGATAATATACAAGTGATAATGGAATGTGAAATAGCAACGACAATGTTGTACAAGAAATAAAAAAAGGTTAGTAAGCACGTTCAAGGATAAACAAGAATGATGTTAGGAATGAAGGATGAAAATTAGACAAAAATTAGAACTAACCAAGATAGGATTTTGTGAGATTTTGAGAAAAAGGTTTGAAATTTAATTAAATAAAAGGGTGTTAGAAATTTAAATTAAAAAAATGTTAAGAGTTTTTATTTTAAGAAAATGTTGGATTTTATTTTAAAAAAAGGTTAATTTTAATTTTTTTTAAAAATGTTAATTTTAATTTTAAAAAATGTTAGTGTTTATTACAAAAGAAAATGTTAGTAAATAGTTTTTTTTAAAAGAAATAAATTTAAAATAGAAAAGGGTTAATATTTAGTTAGAATAAAAAACAAAAAAAATAAAAAATAGAAAATAAGGAAACGGGTCGGGCTGGGTCACAACCCGCCAGACCCGACCCGTTCGGCAACACATAAAAAGGGGGGAAAGTGAGATTTAGGGCTTTCAACCCTAAATTCACAACAGAGCCGCGGCGGCCCCTTGTGGGTGTTGCTCTGTAGAATTTTCTTTTGATTCTCCCTTCTCTCTTCTCTATGTTCCTCCGATCGTGATCTTTTCTTCCCTCTTTTTCCTTCGCCGTTGTGATTTCCATCTTCTTCTTCACATCTGGAAAAAAAAAGAAACAAGAAAAATGTGAACCCCTTTTTGGATGGCTTACGTTTTCCTTGATGGCTTTGTTCGTTGGAAATGATAGCCGATGATGAGGAAAAACTAAGGCTGAGGTTTTGTTGTTGTC